AACTGTAATCCCAGCTACTTGGGAGGCTGAACCCAAGTAGGGAATTGCTTGAACCCAGAAGGCAGAGGTTGCAGTGAGCAGAACCCAGTGAGCAGAGATCGTGCATTGCACTCCAGCCTGGAGCAGGGGAGAAGCAAGAAGGGTTTTCTGTTAGAGGTTAAATCTCGAAGGTTGAGTATCAGGAGAAACCATGTGAAAGAGGGGCAAGTGAGTTCCAAGCAGCAGTGAAAACATTTGCAGTGGCAAAATGATGAGAAGAAAAATGGCTCATTCCAGAAATCACAAGTGGTTCAGTAGGTCTGGAAAACAAAACTGACATCAATGAGGAGTGGCAAAAGATAGGTTGAGGAGATCAGCAAGGACCAGAATAGTTAAAGGGCTCATCTGCCATTCTAAGGGGGCTGAATTTGTCCTGAATGATATCATACCTCCTCAATCAGCCTTATATGTTGGAAAGCTCACTCTGACATCAGAATAGAAGTCTGGTGGCTCAGCCCCAAGTGAAAAGTTAGCATCAGGTGCCATTTGAGTGACTGGACACAGCTCAGGCACCCACATCTCCCTTCAGCCCATCAGAGATCTCTCCACTACCTTCTTTTGCTTTTTTCCTTCATTTCAGAGATGAAATTCCCAGATTGAATGGCTTCAATTACTATGGAAAGTGATAGACCAGGGTAAGTCACAACTACCTTGTTTTTTAATTTTGTTGTTTGTTATCATGACTAGTTGAGTGTTAGCCTTCTAGCACACACAGCTTTGCATTTCCATTCTGCATTACTTGCATTTTTATTACTTTGTAATATTTGTAAAGTGTTATTATAAAGCTGTGCTGTTGGTTTGGATATTTTGAAGTTAAAATGTAATTTTTTAACTGCAAAGCAGCAGTATGCAAAGCAAGTGTTTGAGAACTTTCCCCCATCAATGAGTCTTCTCCCCTGAAGGAAACAGTTTTGAGACTTCCTGTTCTTAATTCTGTTTAACAGCTTACTTCTAAAAGAAAATGTGTATACTGTTATTATTTATTTTGTTACAAAAATATACATGCATCTACTTTAAAAATTCCAATAGCACTAAAAGGGTACATACAAAATGCAATGGCTAACCAACCATCCCTTCCATTGCTCTAAGAGACACCCACTTTTGGCTGTTTTCTTTCTTTCTTTCTTTCTTTTTTTTTTTAATGAAATGAGAAACTTTATAGCTATTCGAGAATTGGACATTTTGAGTGAAGGATTTAATCATTGTATATTTGGTTTACATATTTCTTTTTTTTATTGCATTTTAGGTTTTGGGGTACATGTGCAGAACATGCAAGATAGTTGCATAGGTACACACATGGCAGTGTGTTTTGCTGCCTTCCTCCCGTTTTCTTTAGGTCTTTTTAATATTAGGTTTCTAAAAATGTGTAACCATGTGAATAATGAGCTTAGACTTACTAGATTCCTATCATAATAGGTGGGGACTTAGTTCTCCTACAGTGTTGTTCTTACTGTTTTTATTTTCTTTCAATGTTTATGTCTACATCTGCATATCAGTACTCAGTATCATTTTTATACTCACAGATATTCACAGTTGAGAATTTTCAGGTAATATAACTTGCTTCCTTTATTTTTTTTCTTCCCCTAAAGTTTATATTTGTGTTTTTCATTTTTATTTTCTTTTGAGGCAGGGCCTCACTCTGTCACCTAGGCTTGAGAGCAGTGGTGCAGTCATGGCTCACTGCAGCCATAACCTCCCTGGGCTCAGGTGATCCTCATCCTCCCTGGGCTCAGGTGATTCCCCATCCTCAGTCTCCTGAATACCTGAGAGTAGGCGCGTGCTGCCATACCCAGCTAATTTTTGTGTTTTTTGTATATGAGATGGCGTTTCACAAAATTTTTGCAGTTTACCCATCTGACAAAGGGCTGATACCCAGAATTTACAAAGAGCTAAAACAGATTGACAAGAAAAAAACAAACAAGCCCATTCAAAAGTGGGCAAAGGATATGAACAGATACTTTACAAAAGAAGACATACATGAGGCCAACATATGAAAAAATGCTCATCATCATTGGTCATTAGAGAAATGCAAATTAAAACTAAATTGAGATACCATCTCACGCCAGTTACAATGGCGATCATTAAAAAATCTGGAGACAGCAGATGCTGGAGAGGATGTGGAGAAATAGGAACACTTTTACACTGTTGGTGGGAATGTAAATTAGTTTAACCATTGTGGAAGACAGTGTGGCGATTCCTCAAGGATCTAGAAATAGAAATTCCATTTGACCCAGCAATCCCATTACTGGGTATATATCCAAGGGATTATAAATCGTTCTACTATAAGGACACATGCACACGAATGTTCATTGCAGCACTGTTTACAATAGCAAAGACCTGGAACCAACCCAAATGTCCATTGATGATAGACTGGATAGGGAAAATGTGGCACATATACACCATGGAATATTATGCAGCAATCAAAAACGATGAGTTTGTGTCCTTTGTAGGGACATGGATGAACCTGGAAACCATCATTCTCAGCAAACTGACACAAGAGCAGAAAATCAAACACCACATGTTCTCACTCATAGGCAGGTGTTGAACAATGAGAACACATGGACACAGGGAGGGGAGCACTACACACTGGGGTCTGTTGGGGGGAAATAGGGGAGGAGGGTTGGGAGTTGGAAAGAAATAACATGGGGAGAAATGCCAGATATAGGTGATAGGGAGGAAGGCAGAACATCACACTGCCATGTGTGTACCTATGCAACTGTTTTGCATGTTCTGCACATGTACCCCAAAACCTAAAATGCAATTTAAAAAATGGGGAAAAAAAAGAATAGAAGTCTGGTGGAGCCAGGTAAAACTAGAAGCAGGAACATGATTTTGGTGGTTCTAACAACAACAACAAAAAAATAGAAGTGAAATAGACGTGAAAATGGGCATGTGGTTAGGAGGCAGACTTGCGGAGATCTGAAAGAAAATTAACACAAATGAGTAATAAGTAAGTTGTAAGCGATGGTGAAAAGGAGGTGATTAAGGGGACACCCAGTTTTCTGGTTTGAACAAGCGTGTGGACCACGATGCCTTCACTGAGCTGGTGAATCAGAAGGATGTGGCTTGCAAGGGTGTGTTCATGGCTGGTGATGGAGGAAGGCAGAGGTAAAGAGTTCACCTTTAATTAATTAATTAATTGATTATTTATTTATTTCTTGAGACAGAGTCTTAATCTCTTGCCCAGGCTGGGTGAAATGGTATGAGCTAAGCTCACTGCAACATCCACCTCCTGGGTTCAAGCAATTCTCAGTGCCTCAGCCTCCTGAGTAGCTGGGACTACAGGCATGTACCCCTATGCCCAGCTAACTTTTGTATTTTGAGTAGGGACAGGGTTTCACTGTGTTGGCCAGGCTGGTCTTGAACTCCTTACCTCAAGTGATCCCCCTGCCTTGGGCTCCCAAAGTGCTGGGATTATAGGTGTGAGTCACCACACCTGGCCAAGAGTTCACATTCAGATGTGGTGAGTCAAAGGTAAATGAACAAAGAGAAAAGAAGTAAACAGGCATGTGGGTTGCTCTTTCCAAAAATATACCTGTGAAGATAAGAGCTTGTGAGGTTGTAGATATGTATATGTAGGTCAGGGAAAGACTTTTGAAGTTTTTGTATATGGTAGCCTCCATATCTCTGAGCAACTGGAGAAGATGTCATTTTCTGAGGGTCAGGGGAATAATGAATAAATATGATGAGTTGTGTGATTAAGTTTAGAATAGCTATATCATACAAGAAAAGGCTCATTTCAGATGCAAGGAAACATGGTTTGGTTAGAAACTATAAATGTAGAAGTACACTAATCCATTCACCTGTGAGATTCCCTTCAGTTGGCCCCAGAAACCAAGGTGTTAGCCAGGCTTCTTGGAGGCTGGAGAGAGCTGACCGCTTCTTCTTTCAAGTTCCCAGTGTATTTAGGCATGCCGGAATGCCAAGAGGTTCTAAAATGCAGTGTTTCAAATGTTTACACTTAACAAATTCATACTTTTAACATGGAATAATCATGAAGCAAAATAGCTGTGATATTTACCGGATAATTATAGAATTTACTTAAACTGGCTGGGTGCTGTCGCTCACGCCTGTAATCCCAGCACTTTGAGAGGCTGAGGTGGGCAAATCACAAGGTCAAGAGATCAAGACCATCCTGGCCAACATGGTGACACCCTGTCTCTACTAAAAATTCAGAAATTAGCTAGGTGTGGTGGCAAATGCCTGCAGTCCAAGCTACTTGGGAGGCTGAGACAGGAGAGTCTCTTGAACCCAGGAGGTAGAGGTTGCAGAGAGCTGAGTTGCCCCACTGCGCTCCAGCCTGGCAACAGAGCAAGACTCCGTCTCAAACAAACAAAAAAATGAATTTATTTAAACTATGAATTTATAATGTATTACAAACAGTGTAATTTGGTAATGAGACGAAGTTTAAAGTTCTACAAAGAATGCCTCCTTGTGGGCCAGGCGCAGTGGCTCATGCCTGTAATCCCAGCACTTTGGGAGGCCGAGGTGGACGGGTCACCTCAGGTTGGCAGTTCGAGATCCTCCTGACCAATGTGGAGAAACCCCATCTCTACTAAAAAAACAAAAAATTAGCCAGACATGGTGGTGCATACTTGAAATCCCAGCTACTTGGGAGGCTGAAGCAGAAGATTTCTTGAACCTGGGAGGTGGAGGTTTCAGTCAGCTGAGATCACGCCATTGCACTCCAGCCTGCAGCCTGGGCAACAAGAGCAAAACTCTCTGTCTCAAAAAAAAAAAAAAAAAAAAAGAATGCCTCCTTGTAATTGTATAGTGTAGGCATATCTTTGCGATGCTAGTATAACCTTATTTAGACAAATTGTCAAAAGCTTTGATTGAAGCTTCCTATGAATGTGGGGCCAGGGCCTCATAAGCTTAGGTGTTGGAACAGATAACTGGATTAAAACAGTTTAACAGATTCAGTTCATTAAATACAAGAGAGAATAGGATTGAGAACATAGATAATTGTGAGAAGTTTATTTATTATTATTATTTTTCTTTTTGGGGCCATGCTAATCTTCTCTGTATTGTTCCAGTTTTAGTATATGTGCTGCTGAAGCGAGCACTATTATTATTATTATAGTTTTTTGAGGTGGAGTTTCCCTCTTTTGCTCAGGCTGGAGTCCAATGGCACAATCTCACTCAGCTCACTGTGACTTCTACCTCCTGGATTCAAGTAATTCTCCTGCCTCAGCCTACCTCGTAGCTGGGATTATAAGCATGTGCCACCGTGCCCAGCTAAGTTTTGCATTTTTAGTAGAGACAGGGTTTCGCCATGTTGGCCAAGCTAGTCTTGAACTCCTGACCTCAGGTCATCCACCCACCTTGGCCTCCCAAAGTGCTGAGATTATAGGCATAAGCCACCATGCCCAACATGAGAAGTTTAAACAATGAATTATGATTTTCAAACTGAATTGGCAAGGATGTTGTCTTAGTCTGTTTGTGCTGCTATAACAAAATACCACAGACTGGATAATTTATGAATACTAGATATTATTTCTCACAGTTCTGGAGGTTGGGAAGTCCAAGATCAAGGCAGCAGCAGGTGTGCTGTCTGGGGACAGCTACTTTCTGCTTCCAAGATGGTGCCTTGTTGCTGCATCCTCTGAAAGGGATGAAGGCTGTGTCCTCACACAACAGACAGATGAAAGGGCAAAACAACTGGATGCTGTGTGAAGCCTCTTGTATAAAATTCTTAATCCCATTCAGAAGTGAGGAACCCCATGACCTAAACACCTCCTAAAAGCCACACCTCTTTAATACTGATGCATTGGAGACATTTCGACACGCATTTTGGAGAGACACAAACATCCAAACCATAACAGAAATGAAAAGAGAAGGGAGCAATAGGTTGCAGAAAACGGAGAGGTTAAGGATAAATGAGGTGTACGTAATGAAATGAGAGAACCAGATGATTATTAAGAATATGGTATACCATAGTCTGATTTCACTTCTGGAGTATTTCTGGATGATGACAAGAGTACAGATGTAGAGGCAGGTGCCCACAGTGAAGTAGAGATGAGGGTCCATTGTAGCTGAGAGGTTAAGTAATTGGAAGACAAGTGTTTTGAGATAGTGATCTACATGGACATTGAAAATGGTCCAGGATAAGGGTGGATCTTTGTATGAAGAAGATCCTTTGTATGACAGCATCTTAAAATAGGGAGTCTATTTTAAGATGCTGTCAACTGATAATTGCTCTGCAAAATGGCCAGAAGAGGAAGGAGCAGACAAAGGATTGAATATGTTATCTTTATCCCCTACTACCCTGTGACTGAAATTGTATAAACGAAGAATAGTAAGTTACAAAATTGTGGTTGATGATACAGAAGTGCTTACAGAACATAGTCATTCCAAAGAGCCTTTCGCTCCACTTATCAAAGTAATTTTGTCCTCATTTTAATGGCAGGTAAAACAATATTAAACAAAGCAGCCTCTGCTATATCTTAAGCCCTTTAGTTAGTGTTTGTAGTAGTAAATGCTCTAGTAAAGGGACAACATCCATTTCTTTTCTTTTTATTTTTGAGACGGAGTTTCGCTCTTGTTACCCAGGCTGGAGTGCAATGGCGCGATCTCAGTTCATCGTAACCTCCGCCTCCTGGGTTCAGGCAATTCTCCTGCCTCAGCCTCCTGAGTAGCTGGGATTACAGACACACGCCACCATGCCCAGCTAATTTTTTGTATTTTTAGTAGAGACGGGGTTTCACTATGTTGACCAGGATGGTCTTGATCTCTTGACCTGGTGATCCACCCGCCTCGGCCTCCCAAAGTGCTGGGATTACAGGCTTGAGCCACCGCTCCCGGCCATCCATTTCAATCCCAGGTTTTCAATCACTTTGATTCTTTTTTTGAGACAGGGTCTTGCTGTGTTACCCAGGCTGAAGTGCAGTGGTGTGATCTCAGCTCACTGCAATCTCCACCTCCTGGGTTCAAGTGATTCTCATGCCTCAGCTGCCTGAGTAGCTGGGACTCTAGGCACATGCCAGCACACCTGGCTAATTTTTGTTTTTTTAATAGAGACAAGGTTTACCATTTTGGCCAGACTGGTCTCAAACTCCTGACCTCAGGTGATCTGCTTGCCTTGGCCTCCCAAAGTGCTGGGACTACAGGCATGAACCACCATATCCGGCCCACTTTGGTTCCTAAAGTTTTCTTTCAGGCAAAGTTTTTAATGCATAGTTTCTGCCTAAAGGTTTTGTTTGTGTAGACTTATTATTGGATAAGAGAGGAAGGGACTGCCAAAAGGGTCCCTAAGGCTGTGCTTAGAAAGAGAGAGCTGCTGCAAGGAAAGGCTATGTCACTATCCGTGAAGTAATCTGTGAACACAGGACAATGACCACTGACACTGATGCAGAACTCACTGGTGCAGGACACTGCATGTCCCAAACTGGGCTAAATACTTTATATCCACTGACTCATTTAATGCCTCAACAACTATGTAGGTGTTATTACCCCAATGCTAATATTAAAGAACAGGAATTAAGTAAGTTGTCCAAAATCTCACAGCTAGTAAATGGCAGAACTGGGACCTGAACTCAAAACTCTGTAACTCCAGAACCTAGAGATTTGTCATTAAATGCACTTGACATTTGGAAGTAGAAACAAATCCGGGAAGCAGTCATCGGTGTCATTTACACTGATCCCTTTTTTCAGACAGGAAACTGGGGGTTCAGAGTAGTTGACTGGAATCTTCTGTTAGAATTTTGAGTGTCTGAAACCTGCTACCCTGGCCCAGCCCAACCACACCAGGTGATACGGATCCTTCAGAATTCTACCGGGCATGTTCTGGCTGGAGGAAGAGATTATCTTTTTGCTCACGGACTTTTTCCTTGCTTAATCCTCTTTATACCTCTTTCACTAGCATTGTAGACAAATCATTAAAACAAGAAAGTCACATTTCCTTAGAATGGGCTAGAGCATTTAAATTTAGACTGATGTTGCACAATCCTATGAATATACTAAAAAAAAATTCAATGCTTAAATATACAAATATGTACAAATATTACTTAACATTTTATGGTATATGAATTACATCTCAATAAAGACTTTTTTTTTCTTTTTCTTGAGGCTAGTCAAGTGAAGCAGTGGGAGTGGAGAAGGAACAAAGAAATCTGTAACTGGTTGCGATCAATTAGTTGTAAACACCACTGCACTTGGACCAGCCAATAAAGATGCTTTAAAAAAAAACCCGAGAGTGTGACTTAAAACACACATTTCCATTGTTTTTGAGTGGTTTCCAATGAGCTCCTTGCACATCGCGTGCCTGCGGTGACCTCCTTGCCCATTCATTTCTTATTCAGTCCACATTCACAGAGTCCACTGTTGGGCCAGGCACAGGGATAGCAGGGGTAGGACCCAGCTCCCAGAGGATGAAAGACAGGTAAAGAGGAATGAATGCTTGTACCTGAAGAAGCACTGATTTTTTGGGTTGAGGCTTCCAGTGACTATGCTGCAAATTCGAGTACTAAAAAAGTTGATGTGATTTCAGTATTTAGAAAAATACTGAGAAAAATACGCAGTGTTTTTGTTTCTTTTAATAAGTTACAGGGAGTCACAGACCCAGTCTCAAAGCTTCAATTTCAGTAACCATTTATCCTTTCCAAGTGAGTTTTTGCATACCAACACATAAATGAAACAGAATTACAAAATAAAGTTAATGCTGAAAAAAAAAAGGACCTTTATTAACATTAGCGCCGCCTCACAGTATCTATTTTAACTCCAAGCTATGCTCCCGGCTTGAAGCCCGCACTGGCGCTCCGCTCGGTCGAACCGGGGTAACGCGTGGAGGTGGGTTCGCACATCCTCTCTCCACTTCTTTCGACCTTGGCCCTTTCGCAGGTCCCGGCGAGCTGGAAGCGCCTTTCCCGAGCCCGGGCGAAGAAGGGGCCGAGCGGGGCGGAAGGACTTCCTGCGGCCAAGGGCGGCCGCCTTCTCCGCAGAGACTACAGTTTGGACCCAGATTGGACTCAGCGTTTGTGGTTCGCGAGGCGGAACACAGGGCACGCTCCGGGCCCCTGCCCGGCAGAGCGCGAGCGGAGGGCGGACTGGGCCCGGGTGGGCGAGTCACGTGCGGCCGGGAGCGGCGCCGCGGGCCGGGAGTGTGCAGGAATGTAGCAACTTGCAGCGAAAAGTTTCCCTGCGCGGCAGACTGGGCCGCGGTGCGGGCGGGCGCGCAGAGGAAGGAAGAGCCGGGAGGCGGGGCCGCGGCGGCGCGGGCGGGCGCTTCTCCCAACTTTAGTTTTGGCGTCTGAGGCGAGTTTCTGTCTCAGTCGGGCGCAGCCGCCGCCAGGGAAAAGAAAGGGAGGAAGGAAGGAACAAGAAAAGGAAATAAAAGAGAAACGGGGAGGAGGGGAAAGGCAACCAGCCGTCCGGCCTCAGTCAAGGGAGTTGGAGGGAAAAAGTTCTCAGGCGCCGCAGGTCCGAGTCCCTCGCAGCCCCTCCCGAGGCGCAGCCACCAGACCAGTGGAGCCGGGGCGCAGGGCGGGGGCGGAGGCGCCGGGGCGGGGGATGCGGGGCCGCAGCACAGTCCCCCGGCCCTGAGAGCTAGGAGAGCGCCGCTCCCACCGCCCAGCCCGCAGCCCTCGCCGTTTCTCCACCTCGGCCCGTGGAGCCGGGGCGTCCGGGCGGAGCCTTCGCTCGCCTGGTCCGGGGGTGCGCATCGGGGGAGGCAGAAGCCATGGATCCTGGGCAGCAGCCGCCGCCTCAAGCGGCCCCCCAGGGCCAAGGGCAGCCGCCTGCGCAGCCTCAAGGGCAGGGCCCGTCGTCCGCACCCGGGCAGCCGGCACCCGCGGCGACCCAGGCGGCGTCACAGGCACCCCCCGCCGGGCATCAGATCGTGCACGTCCGCGGGGACTCAGAGACCGACTTGGAGGCGCTCTTCAACGCCGTCATGAACCCCAAGACGGCCAACGTGCCCCAGACAGTGCCCATGAGGCTCCGGAAGCTGCCCGACTCCTTCTTCAAGCCTCCTGAGCCTAAATCCCACTCCCGACAGGTAACCTCGCCGCCCCTCTCCCAGCTTCCCCGTCGGGCGGGCCCCAGGCTGGGGGGCGCTCGGGAGTCGCGG